ATGGTATATAAAATCTAATACTATATTTTATATATATATATAATATATATATATATATATATATATATATATATATATATATATATATATATATATATACACACACACACACTGTATATATTTCCATAAATTATGTAGAAAAAAAAGTTCTGACATTTTTTGTTAGTTTGCCAATCTAAATGTATTATAGTGGTTTAGCAGTAATCTTTATGTCCTAACCACTGTTAAGACAATTTATTAGGCAATAATAATAATAATGATACAACCCTATATCACTATCACCATCCCATGTTGGTATTTATTTTTCTTAATGTAGTTATACAAGTCAAATATTTGTATAACACATGCTTTTTTTACACTAAACAGTAGGGGAGGGATGGGGGAATCTTAAAAGAACTGGTAAATTTAGGAATCTGGAAGAACAGCAGAGTTGGAAAAATCGCTACTTGAAGATTATTGTTTCAATTTACTTGCCAGTTCTACATAATTCTCAGATAATAAGTTCCATCTTTGTTTGTTAGTGAAAATATACACAAGAATTGGTCCCTGCATGGCTTTCTACATATATCTCGTTTGCAAAGCATGTGTGGCCATTCAGCGATATAAATAGTTATTTATCAACAATGTATACAGCAATCAGCACTGTGCACCACGGTACATGGAAAACTGGCAGCTGAATACACATAACTTACAAACGCTGGAGACAGACATTAAAGGATCACTATAGTCAACATATAAAAGCAAGAAACATAGGTCCCCTAGCCTTCTTTCTTGCTTTTATATAAACTACCCATAAAAAAAAAAAAAAAAAATCAAAGTCTTTTTTTCTCATATAAACTTACCTCCGTTCCAGTGCCGAAATCCTCGGCAGGCAGTGCTCCCTTTTTCATCAAAATGACAAAGTAGCAGGGCTCAATCAGATGCTTCTCTTAGAAAAGCATCATAGCGATCTGGTGCGCATGCGCGGCTTTGCGCTGCACCAATCGTTTTCTTCATATAGGGGCATTGAATGCAGCCCTATGAATGAAGTCGGCGCTCTACCGCTCAGCTCGCTGTCTATGCCCGCCGCCCCCCCCATAGCCCAAAGTTAGCATACAAACTCTATATATAGAGATATCTCTATATATAGTATTTGTATAAAAGCACACACATTTTAAAGAAATATTGTTCAACATACACACACACACTATATATTTCTATCTATCTTTCTATCTCTTTCTCTCTCACACTCCCACTCACTCTCTCACATTCACTCTCTCTCACACGCTCTCTACATTTTTAAAATAAGTGTACTTACTGTTTGAAGTCAGGAGATCTCTGCCTTCAGCCTGTCAGCTGTCTGCTTTCGTGCGACAAGATGACCGCCATTTTCTCCAGCATGTGGCCTTCAGTTATACGAACGGAGGCAACACAGAGCGCGCACTTAATTATGTGGTTTCTTTGAACTTAATGAGCCAGGGGGGTGGTTGGTGTTTGGTAGATTTATCCACCAAACGCAAGGAAAGTAACTTGGGGAATACAGTATATAGTTTTGTCACAATATATCCCTAATGCATATATGTATTTTCTTTTGCATGTTTTCATTGTGGGTACACACATGAAGAATTAGCTTACAGATGCAACATTTTAAATAATTTCAGTAATGTACATGCTCTCATACTTACTCTTATATTCTTAGCTATAATTTAAATAGCTATAAACGTTCAGATTCAGAGTAGCAGTTCAACAATGTCTTTGACGCTACCTGCCAACTACCCTTCTTATAGGATTCATCTCAGTGGCTCTAATACTTACTCTTTTTTTTTTTCCAGCTTAGTTCACTGACACGTCTCTTCCAACTGGACTTGAATATGAACCAGTTTGAAAGCATCCCAAGTGTTCTGCTGGACCTGCCATCTCTGGAATGGCTGGACATGGGTAGTAACAAGTTGCAGAAGCTGCCCTCAGACATAGATAAGTAAGTACATACTATGTACTAAGATGTTGCCCACCCCTGAATAAAGTATAAAGGTGAGCTTTACTTACTGGTATCTAAACTCCCTTATTGGGCTTACTTGACACAGCCACCTGCCTCCCTTGCTGAAATCATCAAGACTGATGATCTCAGTCAATTCAATGCTTTCCAAGGGGAATCACTGGGAGGCTTGTATGCATGCACAGCAAAACACTGCACCAGTCAGGTGCTCTCAATGACAATCATTTGATCTATAACCAAGTTTGAGATTATAGTAGCAAAAGCGCCTCTAGTGGCTGTCAGTAAGACAGCCACTGAAGGCATGTTAACCCTGTAATGAGAATATTGTCATTCTTGCAAAATGACAATGTTTTCAATTGCAGGATTAAAAAGAGAGGGGCACTGCACCTAGATCACTTCATTAAGGTGAAGTGGTCTGGGTGTCTTTAATGCTCTAATTATCAATACAATTGAACCAAACTTCTAATATAAATCTTAAACTACAATATCATTTGTCCATAGAATGCAGAGATTACATACAATATGGCTGCAGCGGAATGAGATAACGGAGCTCCCAGACTCCATTAGCTGCCTGAGAAACCTGAATACATTAGTTCTAACCAGTAACAGACTGAAGAGAATCCCACATTGTCTGCAGGGCCTGGAAAACCTACGGTAAGATCTAAGGGCACCATGTTCAGAGAAACAAATAATTATCAGCCAATGTACTGGCATCACAAGCTACATCAACACTTGAAATAAAAAAAAAAACCTTCCATAGTACTTGCAACTATCGCAAATCTATGCCACTGTATTGCCTATAACATACTATCTGCACAGGTAAATTCCTGTAGTGACTATTTACATGTGTACACTATATTCCCTTTACCCTTTCTTGTGTAAGATTCACTTTCGACATTTTTGCATTGGAATCGATTTAATTTTTCAGAGATGTAAGGAACCTTATAATGTTTAAAAGGATAGGCTTGGGGCATGTACGGTATTGTACATTGTTGGAGGTGCTCAGCTTAGAAATAAACATTGTTTGCTCTCAACAGATTCGTCAATTTCAGAGATAATCCTCTGGAGCGTCAAGTGACATTGCCACCTTGCCAAGATGAAGAGGAGGAGGGAGAGAGGGAACTGTTTGGTCTGGAATTTATGCACTTGTATATCCAGGAATCAATAGGATGCTCTATAAAAGGTAGTGCTTTTGCACACACCTGTATATGCAAAGTTATTTTGCACAAGCAGTGTGCACCAAAAAAACTAAATGTTTAGGCAGCGCAGTATAAAAACTATATAGTAACAAATTTTATTCATCGAGACTGCACAGTTAAAAAATGATATACACATTATGAAAAACACACTTAAAACACCATTTAGAAGACTAAATGCCTTTACAAAACACAAAAAAGAAAGTTGCAAGCAGACGAGATATATAAAAACCTTTTAGCATGAGACCCCTGGAATATGACTTGGTACTAAAAGCAGCAAGCATACAGTCTTAGGTGGGGTTCACCAAAGCCAGGTTAATAAAAATGGGGAAAAAAAAAATCAGTAGCGACTGGAATAATCTGTGTGCCTTTCAGAGGAATGAAAGGATCTTCAGATGGTAGATAGCTGGTGGCGTGTAGGCTTGCTGGGTGAAGATATTGTATAGTTCATAAGGAGGAAGGAGGGCATGAATAGTCTTAAAGGGACTCTCCAGTGCCAGGAAAACATATCAGTTTTCCTGGCACTGCAGGACCATGCAGTGTCCCTCTCCCTCCCAACCCCCATCCCATGACTTACCTGAATCCAGCACCGATGTCCTTCGGCGCTGGGTCTGGCTCCGCCCAAGCTCCTCCCCCGCCAATGTCAATGGCCGAGCGCGTGCATTCGACCTCCCAATAGGAAAGCATTATTCAATGCTTTCCTATGGGGATTCCGGAGACGCTGGAGGTCCACATGCATAGCGTGAGGACGTCCAGCGTTGTTTAAAACACTTTTCGTGTTCTAAGAACAC